GAACGCGAAAGATTCTCAGGTATGTTTCCAGGGTTTCTCGTTTTCGCTTCGCTTTCGAGCCACGAGCAGATTCAACAAGTTACGCGTGGAATATTTCGCGCAGCTCGCTCGCCTTTGCCAGGATCCGCCCGGCAGAGGCATTATTAAAGGAATAACGACGACTCCAGGTTGAAGTTCGAGTGGGTTGGAAGAGAAACGTGGATCGCGGCGGCATCGACGTCGACGCGGTGCCTGTACGCGATCAAGTTTCGAGCGGTGGCGAGGTTGCGGTTAGACCAGTTCGAACTCATTCGGTGCACGAAATTATATTGCGGGCTTCGTACGTTGCCTCGTCGGTACACGTATCTGCTTACTCGAGTTCCTCTCGCTGCTGGAACGCTTGCTGGAATCAGATAGCTTCCCACCGATATTCCCATATTCTTGTCTATATATATATATATATATATATATATCCTACGAGACTCTATCGCCCACTGGCCGAGTTAACCAAATTTCCAGTTTCTATAATATATCGTTACTCTCCTTTATTCGTGCGAGATCGTTATAAAGACTCAGTTTCGTTCATTATCAATCGCCTGTTGGAAAACTGTCGCTTTTAAGACGATCTGTGGTTATTGCGATTTATCGTCGATTTTTTTTTAGAAAATTTCTAGTTATCTGTATTGACCTTTTGAGCTAGTAACTGGTTCGCGGACCGTAACGAGTGACCAAACCGTATGTACGATAATTCGTCCTCTTTTCTGAATTCACCGGTTTATTACTGGATAGAAATTACTAAGAAGCAATAAATTTATTATTTGTTTTGGGTTTTGACTACTTCAATATAATTAAAACTGAGAAAATATTGCAATTTTGGGCAATAGTTGCCAAATATTCTCGACGTGCGTGGCACGTCAAAGTGTGCGGATAATTTCACGACACGTGCAACTGCAGACAGAAGATACGTAGTCTGTAATTTTGTAAAATGAAATTGTACCAGACAGGTTATGTTAATAAAAAGAGACACAGAAGTATAAATTGTTATTAATGTTAATAAAAAAAAATACAACAGTACAAAAGTCACACACATATGTACGTACTAGTAGCTCTAGACTTCCGTTTGTCCACCACTGTACATACATTATCTCCCAAGCTACTCTTTATTTTAAGAAAATCTTTCAATTTAAAACTCGAAACTTTATTTCGAGAAGACGTCTCCACAAATTTTATCTACGATATCTCCAGACAATCCTTCTGTTTCTTCGTTAACAATTATTTTCATTTCAAAGTCAACGTGCAGTCGTATTATTTTTTTTTTTTACTTTTTAAGATCCATCAAGCACGTCAGTCTCTTAAGCGCAGAGTCAAATTGTTTCCACACATTTATTAGCGAGCAGTGTATTTGCAAAATCAGCATCAACGTTCGTCTCACGTTTGTTCGGAAAAGCCGACGGATCCCAATTACTTTCGTCGCCCGCGTACAAAACTCGCGTACGCGAACTCGAAAAAGAGTTCCTTCCTGAAGCTTCGCGCAGCTTCCTGTCTAGCTTCTCCCGCAGCGTTATACGACAATGGAATAAATTTCCGTGACTGGAGTCGCGAGCCCCCTCCCTCCTCGATGCGCCGGCATACTTCAGCTAACAATTGCGCGCGGGGAACGCTCGCGACGTGATTACGATGAAAACTTTGTACGTTATCCGTGTAGCAAGCGGAATTATGACGACGCGTACTCTTTCGACTACGCGAACTTGCGAGTTCCTTCCTTCGGCGAAATAATTCAACCGTTTGCAATTGTTCCACTCGCGTCGGTACCGATGGTAATGGCCGTTCGTTAAACAGCTCGACCGCATCGATTTTATCGTATCAATTACGCGAAAGAATTGCTCCGCGATTACCTTACAAACCGTTTCCCTCCGTTCTTGCTGAATTATACATTATAATCGGCAGGGTACACAGGTCTTTTCTGTGATCGTGATATGAATTGGGTAAGAAACTAGTAAAGAATTTTTTTTGTAGAGTAAAGTTATGGTTGGTACATCGAAGCTTCGTCTTAGAAAGGAAGAGAAACAAGTTTTAGCTGTACATCCGCGAATGTTAGCTATGTTTCTGCTTCTTTTGCTCTCGCGTATTGCATTCGTAGACGTTATTATATTTGCTTCTTGTCGTTGCCCATTGTTGCGACTGTCTTTCGTCGCGTTTAATTCGCGAGTAATTTCATAAATGAGAAATAAATTACTCTGAAAGATAATGATCTCGAAGTTAATTACGTCGGGTGACTAGCCGTTCTTCGTAGATCAATTTATCCAAACAGAGCTCCGGCGAACAGTTGACTTAGATTGCTTAGTCAGAGTACAAAAATCGTAATAAGATTCACGAGATAAACGAGCTATAATTCAACAAGCCAATTCTAACTACGATTGGTAACAGACAAAATGAACTTGTCTACCCTACAGTTTTATCAATTGTTAAAATTGACCGGACAACTTTTAAAATTATTCGAAAACAAAATTATTATCCCAAAAACGAAGTTTGGTGTTCTACAATCAGTGTAAATTATTTCTGCATCAAATATTTTCTTAAAATGGTCACTCGTGTTTCGTCGTTCCTATTTCTGTAAATATTTATGCTAATAATTACATATTTATAAAAATATAGTTATATATTTATAAAAATATTTATATATAATTACATATTTATATAAAATATAATTATATATTTATAATATATATTTACAAAAATATAATTATATATTTATAATATATATTTATAAAAATATTTATATATAATTACATATTTATAAAAATATAATTACATATTTATAATATATATTTATAAAAATATTTATATATAATTACACATTTATAAAATATTTGTAATATATATTTATAAAAATATTTATATATAATTACGTACTTATAAAACTAATTAATACAACACAAATAACTAGATAATACTGAAAAACGCTTTCGTTGTAATATAATTGCAACATAATATCTTGTAGAAATTAAACATTTTGTCCTATTGACAAAAAGTGCAAGTTTCGCATTTCTAGAAAACGTGTGTCAACAGAAAAAAAATAATTTTCATCGATTAACTTTTCTGGTGTTTCTTCATCGGTACGAAAAAGAGAGAGAAAAAAAAAAAAGGGAAACGAAAGATGTTGCACCGCAATTTTTACGCAAAGGCACTCTGTACAGAAAGCAAGGACTTGGAAAAGTAGCGGCATTTGAAATTCAAACGTCGAAACGGGGGACGGCGCGATATCGAATTCGTGATTTTGTTTCGAAAAGTCGAAAGTGAAGGGAGGACCCGGCGGACCGGAATTCGACGAACTCCCGATACGCGTGTATATCGATGGTGAACATCGTTCATGGGTGACTTTCTTGCTCGTACACCTTCAATATGGTGGCTGGCTTGCTTCCAAACGGCCGCGACTACGAGAACGACGATGAAAATGAGATTCTCGGTTCAATGCCGGGAGTCGAGCAAGGATTATGTATCTTCTGTCGAAGGACCCTCAATCGGTCGAAAAAAAAATCCTTCCGTTAGCTATTTCTTCGACTTGATAATATGTTGACGAGTGACAATTCATTACCGACGTAATTACCACATATTGATTGAAAGAGGGACCGATTATCGTTAATACATCAGTATTTTCTTTATATCTTTATTATCTTATTTTTTATTAATATTTATTAACTTCACTAATTTTACTAACTTTAATATTTATTAACTTTGCATCTTGTATTATTATATTCGTAAATACTCTTTCACGTTGGCGTATTGTAGAATATATTTGACGATACATTACCTGAGATTAGACGAGTCATGATATCGTAATAAAAAAAAAAGTAACGTGGTTCGTGGCAGATGATGATATAATTGACAAGAAATACCTGTTCTGATAAAAGAGAATCAATGTCGTCAATTTTCGTGAATAACTTTTCTTCTTTTATTCAAAAATATCATTGAAATGAATTCATAATTGCATTGAAATGAATTCATAATTGCATTATAACGAGCTGGAATATTACAGTACAACAATCAGATGATTTTCACTTCGGTTACAAGTTCATATCTTTTTTTTTTTCTGTTTTTTTCTTCTAAATTTGTCAACCTCTGAGAAAAATTATACCTGAAAATGGCTAACCGTTGGAGTGTCAGAGGAATTGACTCGGAAAATTTGTGAAAAATTATATCACTGTTAAATATGCTAACGAAGATTCAGTTCGCTTTCTCGTTACTTTCTCGGTTCTCTGTATTTGCAACGAACGAGTCGGAAATCAAATCCAAATTACCTCGCGGAGCAATTTATGGCGCTTCTGACCCGTGTACGCGTATATGTATTTACCTTTTGCTTTTTTTCTCTCTCTCTTTCTTTTTTTTTTTTTTTTTTTTTATCGAGAAAATGCTTTGTTCGCGGGAGTTTCGGCGGTAGGGGGACAAAATCCCAGGGAGCAAAAAGTAGCGAAACGAGAGAGGAATATTCGCGCTGATCCGATCCGGGGTTTGTCGAAAAACGCGGGATCGTTTGAAGTTGAATCCTCTGAAAGGAATATCACCCTGTGTGTACTCGTGTACGCTGGGGTTTGCAGCGGACAGCTTTCGCGCCCTTGCGCCGTTATTGCATATTAAAATTAAAAAGTCACTGTTTAAATTTAAATTTCCCCGATTTTTCTGCGGTGTTTCAGCGTAACGCGCCCGCGCGTACGTGTATTTTCTTAGCTGTTTCGAAACATGCGCGCGATCCTACTCTTTTTCTTTTTATCGTATGTATGTATCGATGTGTATCGAGGGTTAGGCTTTTATACTTGCCACGAGCAGCAGAAAGCGTGAATGTCGCCAGGAAAAAAACTTCAAAGGTCGGGGTGAAATCTAGCTTGCACGGTGGCATGCAATTTCGCCAGGATCTAAATCGTTTTTGTGTATCGTTTGGAAGATCGAAAGAGAGAGAGAGAGAGAGAGAGAGAGAGAGAGAGAGAGAGAGAGAGAGAGGGAGAGAGTATTCTGACAAAACTCACCCAACACGGTGCCCACGTACGAATGCGACGAGTCGAAGTCGATGGGGCCATTCGTGCTCTCGAACGTCGCGTCCTTGCTGAATAGACCCTTGTCTCGAATCAAGCGTAACGTCCACTGTCTGCAAAAGCAACGAAGATTTATTGTTATATTGTAATATTTATATTTTGTTATTTATAATATTATATTATAATATTTATATTATGTTATTTATAATAATATATTATAATATTTATATTATGTTATTTATAATATGGTATTTATAATATTTATATTATGTTATTTATAATATTATATTATAATATTTATATTATGTTATTATAATATTATTTATATTATATTGTTATATTATAATATTTATATTATGTCATTGTAATATTATTTATATTAGGTTATTTATAATATTATATTGTTATATTATAATATAAAACATTTAAATTTTAAAACGTACGTACATACGTGTACGGCAATTCGCAGACCATGGATATTTATGCAAATTTATATTTTTAATATATAAAATATTTCAACACACCAAGTACATTTATAAGCTTAACAATGTGTTATGTGATTAAGACCATTTTTTACGTGGATCTTAAACATCTTCATATTTGAACGTTATGTGATCAAAATAGAATAAAACTCCGGATAGAGTAGAATCTCCCAATAGCAGAAGATTATTCTATTCTGATCATGTAACATTCGGATATTCGAAAAATATAGATTTCAGTTCAGTTAAGAGAAATTTCTTAGTTCAATTAAGAGAAATTTGGGAATTCAATTAAGAGAAATTTCTTCAGTTCAATTAAGAGAAGTTTCTTCAGTTTAATTAAGAGAAATTTGGGAGAAAAAATGTATAAAATATAAAATATATAAAATAACTATATATTATTATATATAATATATATATATATATATTAATTATATATTAATTTTATATATATAAAATATATAAAACATGATACTCCTTACAAAGAACTAAAGTCTCGTACAAAAAGAGAATCAAAATGAGCTAGACGAAGTGTCGCTCGTTTGCACATTGTCCCCAAAAGGGGGGGGAAACGACATCGTTCGTAAAAATCCATATTATATTAATCCTTTCTCCGGCCAATGCAATCAGGTTTTTACGCTCGAATGGCCGCACGCCGTCGTCTGCGCCAGACAAATCGCAGATGGGAAACCATCTTGCAAGAATGAATCGGACAATCAATGAAATATTTAAAATATCTCCCAACCAGACTCTGTTTGCCTTGGCTGTTCGTCGCCTGTCTCGACTAGCCAGGATTCGTTCGCTTCGACGGTTGATCGAAGCTTTTGTCGACGACCCAGGGTCAATGGTAACTGGTAGCCTCACGGTCGACGGCTAAGTCATCGGGAAATATCCAACAAGTCGTGGTGTCGTTGCACGAGTCGAGAAACGTTAGATTCGAAAACCCGTTGTGCTCTCGTGATTCAGCGATTCCTGGACGATGACGCGATCAGGCCTTCCCCGGTGCTTTCAACTCCTCCGAGCGGAGAAAGAGAGAGAGAGAGAGAGAGAGAGAGAGAGAGAGAGAGAGAGAGAATGCGCGTAGTCGAAGGACGAAGCAGAACGAGCCACGGGAACGATAAAAACAGCTAGCAACAAGGTGCTATGGTGATCAAGGATTTGATTGACAGCATTTGTGAACTTTAAAACTCTTAGGCGCATCTGCCATTGACTCGTTTCGAACGAATATCACGAGGGGCGATGGAATTTTAATTTTGTGATAAATTGTTCTCTTTCTCACTGATATTTATCGAGCAGAATTTGCTCGAATAGCGACAGGAAAAAAGAAAAGATGGGATTTTGTTAGCTTCTGGTACAGAGCGGATTCAAAGTCGTTAGAGAAAGCGATTTCGATAGTTTCGAGTTGAGTGCGATTATAACGTTACAAATGAGAGTGAGTATAATGCACTGTCGTTAAATAAAACGATATTTTACAGACAAATAATATTGAACTAATTTGTCACACTCTCCCAAACAATCCTCGCCGCAACAAGCACATGATTTTGTTGATCTTTCGATTTTAGTGGAATTAAACTGGGTTGAAACGAGTCTGAAAATATTGTATTGAAATCGCCAAGTATAGAAGTGGGTCCTCCATTAACATTCGGACATTAAATATTGACTTTTGTTATAATTTTGTATGATGAAGTTGCAGAATTTCAGCTCATTTTAAAGCTTGAAACCTCTACTTTCAAAATTCGTTCATTTTATTCTAATTGTAAGTTGGCGAAATGAAGATGCTTCTCTTCTTGAAAATTGCTATAAATTGTTGCAGTGTAAATTTTTTTTCACGACTATCTCGACGACCGAAGCCTCCCTTTTACAACGAATCCTCAAAATTTGCTGTATCTGATCTCTTTTCAGAAGACGAATATTACCATTTCTTAAATTTTCGTTTCATCTCTAATTTTCAGGGCTCGATAAAATCGTGAAAAAAGAAAATCATACAGTCGAGTTCTCAGCTGTCGTCCTAAAAGGGGAAGTCAATTTTCAAATCCACTGTAAATTCGATCATGAAAAAAAAAAAAAAAAATTGTTCAATGTTTCTACATACCATGACAATTTATAACTTCAATTTGTAATTTATAATTTTCGAAAAAAGGAAGGTATCTTCACTTGCTCGACTGCTACTTGATTTAAAAACATGTTGAAATAAAACGGACGACACATTTCGAAGATAGAGGCTTTAAAATGAACCAAATGATTTTTCTTTAGGAAATTATAACAGTTTAAATGTTTAATGTCTGAATATTAATTTAACTGTATCAACAAGTGGGCCATCTTTAACACTTTATTTCCCAGTAAATATCGTCTGCGTGCAGGTTCAGGCTAGTTTCTTTTATCAGTATAATCGTAGCGGTCGTCTCTCATCACGATGACTGACATTTCGTGAGTCGGTTCACAGGTTCGATCTTATAAATAGTCGGTTAAACGAGTGTTTAGTGTATTTGATATTGCTAACCATTGCTAACCAGAGTCTAGAAGAATAAGTAGAAGTGACTTTCGGAATAAGTGGAATATTAAATTTAGAAATGCGAGAGCATCGATGACTGGCGCGTGTGACATTGAAACACGGATTGACCAGGGATTGCGTACGGAATGCAGCGAGTGCACGCTGACATAATCCCGGATTCCGAGGGTAAATGGATTAGGCTTAATTAAATTCGCAGCGAGCCAGGATTATTCGGAACACGCGTACACCGATAAAATATTCGATTATTTCGTAACTGTCAGTCAAAGAGAGAGAGAGAGAGAGAGAGAGAGAGAGAGAGAGAGAGAAAGAGAGAGAGAGGAAAAAACACAAAAAAAGGAAAAGAAAAAAGAAAAGAAAAAAATTTTGTAAGGCTGATCGTCGAAACCGCGTCGAACGAAATATACGTTCCGACGATAGAAAGAGGCGCGGCGCAAGTTGCTGTGATTTTTCGTAAAATTATTCGTTAACGAGAAAAAGGCGAGTTCGTCTCGTCATTCTGCTGGACGTGAAAAAGGAACAAACACTGCATTTTCACGGTATATTCGCAAGGAAATTTCGTAACTTTGGAATTGAAGGAATTCAGGTAAAATCAACCAGGACTCGCCGAGAGAATTCTGGAAAGAATATAAAGTTTCTCGAGAAGAAAAGATCCAGATGGAGATATTTTATTTAATAGAATATTCAGATTTTCATTGAAATATGTATTCATGCGTGTATTCTCCGTGTGCGCGGTCCCCAAGACGTGGAATTAAATTTCGATCGATTAATTAAAAAAAAAAAAACACACGAGCGCTAATAATTATTTCAGACGCAAATATTCCATGTATGTCGATCCAGTGATAGAATCCGAGTTGAAGCCGCGGTTGGTATAAATAATGAAGAGGCCGCGAACAAAGGGCAGAGAAAAACGCAATTCCCATCGTCGTCGGCGCAAACAGATTTCGTTTGAAATTCACATTTCGCGATGTTCTACACGGCAAAGGAGGGAAAGGAGACACGAGGATCCTCTCTGCTCCTTTGTTTCGCGGGAAAGAATTTAATACGGCGCATTAGCATAAAGAAACGAGGTACGGAACGAGCCGGCATTACGCGAGGTATCAACAGAAGAGTAACAATTAGTCGCGGATCTTTGTACCTCTCTCGCCGCATCTGCTGCAATTATTTTCCTAACTCGATAGGCAAGTGTCTGTTCGCGAATAACGGTGAAGCTTGCTTCCTTCCCCCTTTCGACGAGATCGTCCTTTGTTTCCATGAAATTGGTCCCGTTAAGAAATTCATAAGGCAATCCGAGTGCGTGACTCGCGAAAAGAAAAAGAAGAAACCACGAGGTCGCCACAGCGATTTATCGTTGATGATCCGTTAGATTTTCTGGACGAGATTCTCAAGATTTGCTGGATTTCCCTTATCTAATGGTACTATTCTACTTTCTCTCGTCACTTGCATGAAATATTTTGAAATTTCATTAGCATTGTAATACACGAGACGACGATTGTCACGATTACATCGGTCTGGAATTCAATCTGGAAATGTACGTAGGAGTATTACAAGATATTCACTAAAAAACACACGATGAAATATTTATGACAGAAAGTGGCAAACGAAAGAGTTTACGTTTAATGTGCGTCGAATCGATAACTAATCGCAGAAGTGAATTTTTGCTTTGCAGTCAGAGTTCATTAATATTTACGAGAATTAAATAAATCTTCGAGCAACAATAAAAGATCATACAATACGATTATTAAAATTAAAATCCCAGTCCATTTACTGGAGGAGTGAAACAAACGCTTGACAAGTGTTGAAGATCCCACGACATTGATTGAACTTCTTAATAAAATCGTACAAGTTCCATAGGGTAAGAACGATTCAACCACTGCAAAGAATAATACATGTAACGTACGTGCATTATCGATTAAATAGGTGTTACATGAAAGTATTATGTAATGTACACACGACGTGCCTTTAAGACGATGCGAACGAACTTGTTACACAACCTGCTATATTCACGAAAGATTTAAGAGACATTTAGAAGTGGTCGAAGTGCGATGATCGTGTTGTATATGAGAAAGCCGCGAAAAACCGATATCGCCGATTTATAACGCCAACTTATCTACATTCTCTAGAC